TCTCTGAACCCTCTCCAATTTATCAATATTTTTGTTGAATAGTTGACATCAGAACTGGGCACAATATTCCAGCAGTGGTCGAATCAGTGACAAATACAGAGATTAACTTCTCTGCTTGTAATCGAGATTCCCCCATTTATGATCCAAGGACTGTATTAGCCCTTTTGGCCATAGCACCGCATTGGAAACTCATATTCAGATGATTACCCATCATGACCTCTTCATCTTTTTCAGGATCACTGCTTTCCAGGATAGAGACTCATCCTGTATGACTGACATTCTTTGTCCTTAACTGTATGCCTTTACATTTAGATGTATAAAAATAATATTGTTTTCTTGCGTCTAGTTTACCAAGCGATCTAGGTTGTTCTGTATCAGTGACCTGTCCTCTTCCTTATTTATCACTCCCCCAATTTGTATGTCCTGTCTCTGTAAACTTTACCAGAGTTTATTTACTATTTTCTTCCAGACCATTGATAAAAATATTAAATAGCATAGGGCCAAGAGCCACTTCCTATGGGACCCCCTTAGAAATCACCCACTCGATGATGATTCCCTATTTACAATTACATTTTGAGACAAATTAGTCAGTTTTTAATCCATTTAATCTGTGCCATATTAATTTTGTAGCGTTTTAGTTTTTTAATCAAAATGTGATGCAGTACCAAGTCAAACACCTTAGAGAAATATACGAATATTACATCAACACTATTATCTTTATCAACCAAACTTGTAATCTCATAAAAAAAAAAGGATGTCAAGTTAGTTTGACTGGCTCTATGTCCCACAAACACATGTTGACTGGTATTAATTATATTACCCTTCTTTAATTCTTCATTAATCAAGACCATTATCAGCCCCACCATTATCCAGGATTGATGTCAGACTGATAGGCCTATAATTACCCAGATCATCCCATTCACCTCTTTTATATATGGACTCAACATTATCTTTCTTCTAGTCATCTGGAAATTCCCCAGTGTTCCAAGACTTATTAAATATCAGCATTAACAATCCATTGAGCACATCACTCAGCTCTTTTAAAACTCCTGGATGTAAATTATCTGGACCTACTGGTTTAAAAGATTAGTAGCTGCTGTTTAACATCGTCTGAGATACCAGATATATCTTCTGTTTTTCCCCAAATACAGAACAGAAATATTTATTGAACACTTCTGTCTTTTCCACATTATTATTGATAATTCTACTATTTCTGTATAGTAATGAACCAATACCATCTTAATATTCATTTTGTTCCTAATATACTTTAAGAACTCCTTCTTATTGTTCTTAACTCTGCTGGCCATAAATTTCTCCTTGTGTTCCTTTACTTCCCTTATCAGTTTTCTACCAATCCTGTACAACGTATAATGTAAAATAAAAGAGAGTTTTTGAATACTAATTTTAATTTTCAAATGATTTTAACTTGGCCATATTCACACTCCTTTTCTGAAAACTCATAAATGAGTCCGTTTGCTAGCACGAACATTCACAGAGAATGAAATTACCAAGTGACTCACAATATTGACTCAGGAAGTGCTTTCAGGCTTATTTAGTCAAGGAAAAGAAACAATATCATATGTTTTATCTGAACAATCGCAATTTAGCAACATGAATATTGATGAACAAACCAACACATTTTAAAGGTATTTGTTCCATAAATCTGAATAACACATACGTTTAAGGATATCATGATCAGCTCACAGATATTATCTGAACAGAAAAATTACTCAAATAGTTTGTGCTATATTAGTCACACAGACCTAATTATAGTATTAGCACTTCATTAGGGACATGTCCCTTGAATGTTTATTTTATTTATTTATGAACTTATATCTACACCCATTGTTGAGGTAAATCTATGCCTTATATCAGTAGAAACAGAGAGACAGTGTGAGTGAGGTAACATATTTTATTGGACCAATTTCTGTTGGTGAGAGAGACAAGTTTTCAAGCGCTCCTGAAGAAGAGCTCTGTGTAAGCTTGAAAGCTTCCCTCTCACTCACAGAAGTTGGTTCAATAAAAGATGTTACCTCACCCACATTGCCTCTCTCATACCCTGGGATTGACACGGCTATAACAACACTATATATATCAGTAAAAAAATAGTTATATATAAGCAGAATATAACAGAATCCCTGGTTAGATATCAGAGCACTGGCGTTATGTGCTCATAGTGGCTTTCCTGAACCTAAAGCTTTTAAGTATTCTTTAGCTCTGGGGTACAGCATACTGCAGTAATCTAGTTTGAAGCTGTAGAGGCATAGACTACTAGGGCAAGGTCCACATCAGAGAGAGAATGATTGAAGCCTCTGAGTCAATCATAGCATCTTTTACCACCTATATGTCATAGCTGTTATCTGAGACATAGGAACCATTGTGGACTGTGGATTGAAAATGACTCTCAGCAGTGATGTGTACTTGCAATAGCCATAAAAAACCTCTGACAGTACATGCATTCATAATCTCCACCCATTCCTTTAGATACTTCCCTATATCTGTCAGTATAATTTCCTTTTTACAAAAATTGAGCCCTAACTGGTACAGTCTCATAGGCATTACTATGCTGGACCAGACCAAGGTCCATCAAGTCCAATAGCCTCTCTCTGAGAGTGATCAGAATCAAATGCTCCATAGGAAGGTACAAGATCCTCACAGTAGGCATCTGCTGGGTAATGTGCCCCCCCCACCCTCCGTACACATTAGGTTGTATCTTGATCTCTAACATTTAAAGACTAGCTTAATCCCTGAAGCACAAGGTTTAATGTCCCTTTGACAACATTATTGTTATAAGTAATTGTGATAACTCTGGATAATCTTGATATCAATATAAATGTGCCTTTTGAGCCTTGTTAAATTCTTGACCTCAAAAACTTTGTGTGGCAATGGGTTCCACAGTCTAATTACACATTGAGTGAAATAGTATTTCTTTTTATTCCATTTAAATTTCCCACCCTTTAATTTCATTCAGTCTCCCCTTACTCTTGTGTGAGAGAACAGAAGATCCCAATCTACCTTCTCTAGGCCATTCATTATTGTCTGTACTTTTGTCATGTTCCCTCTTTTATTCATCTGCTTTCTAAGTTAAACAATCCCAATTTTTTTCCATCTGCCTTTATATGACAAAATTGGCATGCTCTTTATCATTCTTCTCACTCTTCTCTGAACTCCCTCTACTTCTGTAATATCCTTTTCGACTAGAATGGCACACATTATTGCAGATGACACTGTACCATTAATTTATATAAAGACACTATAATATTCTTTTCAGAGTAGCAGCTGTGTTAATCTATATCTGCAAAAAGAAAAGGAGGACTTGTGGCACCTTAGAGACTAACAAATTTATTTGAGCATAAGCTTTCATGAGCTACAGCTCACGTCATTGGATGCATGCAGTGGAAAATACAGTGGGGAGATTTTAATATACACAGAGAACATGAAACAATGGGTGTTACCATACACACTGTAACGAGAGTGATCAGGTAAGGTGAGCTATTACCAGCAGGAGAGGAAAAAAACCTTTTGTAGTGATAATCAAGGTGGGCCATTTCCAGCAGTTGACAATAACGTCTGAGGAACAGTGGTGGGGGAGGGGGGAGAATAAACGTGGGGAAATAGTTGTACTTTGTGTAATGACACATCCACTCCCAGTCTTTATTCAAGCCTAAGTTAATGGTGTCCAGTTTGCAAATTAATTCCGATTCAACAGTCTCTCATTGGAGTTCGTTTTTGAAGTTTTTTTATTGGAGAATTGTGACTTTTAGGTCTGTAATCGAGTGACCAGAGAGATTGAAGTGTTCTCCACCTGGTTTTTGAAGGTTATAATTCTTTATGTCTGATTTGTGTCCATTTATTCTTTTATGTAGAGACTGTCCAGTTTGACCAATGTACATGGCAGAGGGGCATTGCTGGCACATGATGGCATATATCACATTGGTAGATGTGCAGGTGAAGCAGCCTCTGATAATGTGGCTGATGTGATTAGGCCCTATGATGCTGTCCCCTGAATAGATATGTGGACACAGTTAGCAATGGGCTTTGTTGCAAGGATAGGTTCCTGGGTTAGTGTTTTTGTTGTGTGGTGTGTGGTTGCTGGTGAGTATTTATTTCAGGTTGTGGAGCTGTCTGTAAGCAAGGACTGGCCTGTCTCTCAAGATCTGTGAGAGTGATGGGTCATCCTTCAGGACGACCTATCCTGAAGGATGACCCATCACTCTCACAGATCTTTTGAGACAGACCAGTCCTTGCTTACAGACAGCCCCACAACCTGAAGCAAATACTCACCAGCAACCACACACCAATATGTCTTGTTAAAACACTTAGTGTACGTGAAAAGAAGTGATGATAAGATAGAAATCTGTGGAACTCTGCATGTGATAACGTTAGAGTAAACAAGCAAGTACACATGACATGTCCACCCTTTGAGCCCTCTGACAGAGGAAGGAATAAAGCTACAGAATAGCCATAAATACACATCCTCATGACTCCACATACTAGTGAACAGAACCTTGTACCAATTTATTTTAAAGTTTTGACAACAAAGGCAACCAAACCAGCACAAAGACTTTAATTGTTTCCACTGACAGGACCTGGATGTTCTGGGAACAAAATATTGCACAAGATTAAGCAGTTAAGAATATATAGAAATCATATGGAGAGAGTCCCAGAAGGACTCCAATCATAGAGGAAGCATCTCATGGATATGAAAAACGCCACAGTAAATGGCATCCCTCTGACTCTTGTGAAATATTTTATAAAACCTTCATTATCTCAGCCCATAAATTTACACCAAAGCCAGTTGTCCGCCCACCTCTGGATATGCAGGAGAGTTACTACTAATGTGTAACTTTAATAATTCCTGTGAGTTATATAACTGGAGGTGACAGAACTTACATGTGATTATGAAGTACAGAAGGAAGGGAAGTCACCTACATGAATAGTCCTACTTCTGAGGTGCTGTGTATCTCTTGGCTAAAGAACAAATATTTTTTCTTTTTCAGGCTTCCATTGTGTTCTGTCAATAGATTGTCCTCTCCAGTGTTGTGGCACTGTGTTGGTCCCAGGATATTAGAGAGACAAGGTGGGTGAGGTAATACCTTTTATTGGACCAACATCTGGTGGTGAGAAAGACAAGTTTTTGAGCTTACACAGAGCTCTTCTTCAAGCTGTCAATTGTCACACTGTCTAGAGTGGCTGACAACCATGAGTGCCAGCAGACTGTCAAAAAGCAGGCAGATATCCCTACTGGTGGTATGTTCTATAATTAGATTTCACCAACCTAGCACCAAATGTGAACTCCAAAGGACTACAAGAGTCTTATAATGGAGTCACAGTCAGTCCCCTTTGACACTCTAGTCTATCTTGCCACCCAGGCAAGCTGGACTATGTAATAAATGGTCACTTACACCAAAAATCACAAACTAATCAGGTTATACCCAGTCCCAAGAAACCAGACACTCACATAGGTCCATTTACATCCCAGATTTCACACCAAAGACAATGCTGGTAGCCAATTCTATAGTAAACTAACTAAAGGTTCATTAGCTCAGAAAAAGGAATAAGTTACTGAGAGGTTAGAGCAGGTAAAATATATGTACAAGTGAGTCACAGTCTATAATTTCAAAAGGTAGCAGAGATGTAGTAATTTTCCAGTTTCCCAAAAGTATTTTGGGGCTACTCTGAATAACTCTGGGAAACTCCATCTTCTTGGTCGGTTATTCTGTCCTTTTAGAATCCAGACAGTCCAGAGACCGTCCTGTCATGCTGCCCAACTCTGGGAATGAAACATGGATTGCACAACTCGGAGAGCTGCAAACATTTTGGCTAAACCCTGCTCTCGACAGTGCTGCAAGGAACAGCCAGAACACTGGCGGACACGTCCTCTGTTGGTCCAGCCATGATTCCACATTGTGACCAGGCATGTGTGTGATTGGGTTCACTTTGCTGCTGCTCTAAAAAGGAGCAGTGTGTAACCCCTGCTAATGTGTGCTGCTAAGTCCTGGCCATCAGTCCATGCTTCTTTTTTTTTGAGACATGGTACTTGGCCCACATTTTAGATGGCCATCTTAAGATTGTCTAAAAAGAAACAGTGTGCATCACCTGCTAACGTGCTGCTAGTGGGCCATCAGTCCATGCCTCCTTGGGCCCACCTATTGGACGGCCCTTCTAATCCTTACTTGAACACATAGGAGAGATCGTGTCCTGCAGCTACCTCAGGGGGTTAGGAAGGGAAGATGTGAAGGGGGAGAGGGTAAAGATTAGGGAGAAGGGGGCTGTCTAAACTTTCTTCCCATCACTAGTGCCTAGCTGAGAGTAGGACCCCACTCTTCATGTAGAATCAAGCCCTTACTTCTCTCTGAAATCTTCCCCTTCCTCATTAGAGAAGCCTGGCAAATATAATGCCCTCAAGAATTGTTCCATATCTTTTTTTAATCGATCTGTTACAATCATGGTCAGCTATCTCACTGGGAATGAAATTATTTAAAAGAACCATTAACATCATCATTATCTGAAACACACAATCCCTCTATATTATAAACTTCCCAAAAACATTTTTTAGCTTTCTTATATTTTCCCTAACCAGACCATTAGCTTGACTGATTTATCTCCTTTTCTGCACACCTAATTCTGTTGAGTACATACAGCTTCTCTGCCTGTCAAGCAGTAGCCAATTTATGCTTGCATTTGGTTTCATTAACTTCTGTAATACCTCTAATAAGTGGAATACCTTCAAACAGTTTCTTCAGTCACTTTCAAGATCTATTTCTACTGAGTCTTTCTATGAAATTAATTTTTTGCATAGGTAAAAGAGTTCCACAATTTTAACAGGTGAATGATTTTTTGTTAAAGGGAGACAGTACCAAAGAAAATTGACAACCGTGACTGTTTGGTATTGTGTCACATGCCAGAGCACAAAAGCAGCTACCGTTTTCAATCTGATTAAAACCTGAAGAGCTAAAGAATTATTATAGCTTTTTTATTGTATTGCTTTTGTGAGGCAAAAGTGAAACATAATTTTTAAAATACACAAGAAAAAAGACTGTTTATTAATTTAATAAGTGAACAGCATGATTTAAAACTAGCGGAGGCCATTGATTATTTTATCCAGAAAAGGATTCCAGCAATTTTAAAAATAATTCATAAGGCCATAAAGGGACACTTGAGCTGGTGTCATATTACTAACAACTTGGCTACATTTGTTTGTGTTGGCTGAAGTTGTCTGGTGAGGTGTTTTTTTATGAATTGGATGTTTGAGGCACATGTGTTGAATGAGGCTGAATGAAGACTGTGCTTTCCAAAAACTAATGTCAATTGGTTGCTAACTAATTCATTTAACATAATTTCAATGATTCCCTAGATTTTTATTGTTTGGATTGGTGGTTATTTTTTTAAGCAACCTTAACTAATATACAACTTAATATTTTTGTGTGGGAATTTCCTTGTTTTGTGGAAGTACTATGTTCTATATGGTATATTTGGATGAGGATGTCTGGTTTTTGTTTTTGTTTTTAACTTTTTATTATATATATTACAAAAATATACATGTACATAATTATTTCCTTTTATTTTTCATATCTTAACCTATGCAAGGGTGACATGGTAAGTACCTAATAATATCAGATGGAGTCAAAATCACATGGTAGAGGTAAGATGCTGAGACCTGCTCCATTGTAAGGCTTACTCCAATTAGGTTGATTCTTGGAGTCCTTTGTGGTACTCCAGGGCTCATCCATGCCATCTGGATTGGGTTTTTTAGTCATTGTTCTCAATGGTAGCAGAACACTTATATGGATAGCGCCCTATCTATGACCCCTAATAGAGCAAAACTTCTTTTGAAATCAATGTAAGTTTTGTTTAATTAAGGACTGTGTAATTTACCTCTTAGAATTTGTGGATAGTAGAAGAAATAACAATATAAAGATTCTGGTAATAATGAATGACGATGGAAGAATGCTTCATTTTTAGCAAACCAGTAGTTGAAAAAATATATACTCCATCCACCTATCACCATCCTTAAGAAACAATTAGTTTTTCTGTTTGCAGTTTTAAGGGAAGCTTGTGGCCAGAGGTAACCAGGAAATAATCACCCAAGATCCACAGGTTAATTAGCACTCCTTTGTGTAAAGAAATAGGTTGCTAACGTATTATCTAAAGTAAATGTGGGACAAGACAAGCTGATGAACAGCAATATTATTAAACTATGTTACTTTCCTGCTGCATTTTTTTATAAACTCATCAAGTAGTCAGTATATCAACATGAATTAAATATCACTATGAAAGTCTTAACTAAAAATGTGAGCATCTGAAGAGGAATACAATTTACTTGGAGTTTATTACAAGAATAACTTTAACAAAAAACACTGGTGTGTCTTTAATGAATAAAATAAGTTAGTGAAGTTTGTGCATATAATTTCTGATATGTCTGTTTAAACAGTGCCTTCTTAAAAACTTGAAAGGCTATGAGGTTATTTCTAAAAGATACAGGAGTCTGATCCAAAGTCCATTGAAGTCAATGGTAGTTTTTTAGATCATCAATTCTGATTAACTAGAATTACATGAGACTAATGTAGACTAAGACCTACACGGTTAGGTTGACGTAAGCTGTCTTGCGTTGACCTAGTTGTGCATCCAGGTACGCTTAAATCTGCCTCCCACTGATGTACTTTCTCCATTACACCAATATAGTAACACCACCTCCCCAAGCAGGGTTAAGCCATGGTCAAAGTACTGAGGTCGATACAGCACTGCATTACCTATGTCAACCCTAACAGTCCTCCAGTAGCTGTCCTGCAATGCCTGACTCTGACCACTCTGGCAGTGCTTAATTTGTGCCAGAGCTTGCCAGGGCTGAGCTCCGGCACCTCTAGGCTTGGCAGTTCATAACCCCAGCACTCGGGCTAGCCACGTCTGTTATTAAAGTAAAAATTTGCTTGAGCCCTGGCACCTAATTGCTTGAGCCCTGGCACTTCTTTCATTACAAATTAAGCACTGTGCTCTGGTCACAGTTGTGAACACCACTGCCCAGGGGTCACAGATACCAGTAGCCTCCTCCCCCCACGCATCCTGCCGCCCTTTAAAACCTTGAACATTTAAAAAATGCCTTTTCCTGATTGTCCTTCTTGGTGAGCACACCTAGCAGCTCTCTTTTGTTGTGTACCCAGTTGACCATGCCAGCTACATGCTCCGGATGTGCTCCGATGTAAAGTAGACAGGAGATATTGGATCTTCTTGGCCTGTGGGAAGAAGAGGCTGTGCAGGCCATAGAAATGTGGACATCTGTGAGCAGATTGCATGGGGGATCCAAGAGAAGGGGTATGATGGGGATCAGCAACCGTGCTGCATGAGAGTGAAGGAACTGCATCAGGCGTATTAGAAGGCCAGGGAGGACAACAATTGATCTGGTGCTAAGCCACAGACCTGCCGCTTTTAGACAGACTGGTATGCCATAGTTGGCAGAGAATCTATCTCCACCCCACACACCACTGTGGATACCTCTGAGCAGCCCGAGTCACAGCCCCTGTCAACAGCAAGGATGAGAAGGAGGTGGAGGAAGAAAAGGAAGAGGATGAGGGACATGTGACGGGGGGGGGAGGGAGTCCAGCTATGCTGTGAGCCAGGACCTATTTGAGACTCCACCGCAGTCTAGTCAGTCCCAGCTGTCGAGCACGGGTGAGCCTGATGCAGGAAAAGGATCCTTAGATAAGTGTGTAAATTCATTTCCCTTTACAGTGATGGCGTCCCCAATTTGGCAGGACACAGCTATCAACTTTTCTTTAATTAACTCTGACTGGAAGAGGTAGTGGTACAACAGAGAGAGGTAGCAGCACTGTTATCCTCTTTTCATTCTCCTGTAGCGTTAGGCAGGAGGTGTGGGGGAGGAGCATGCACCACAGGTTCTTTATGGACACAGAGATGTTCCTTGAATCCTCCTGAGAGATCACAATATAACTTTCATGGAAGTACTCTGCAGTCCTCTTCCAAAGGTTTCTAGGGAGGGATGCCTTATTTCTTCTTCCACGGTAGGACACTTTCTCATGGCAGTCAGCAATAACTTCTGCAGGCACCACTGCAGTACACAGGCTGGTAGCATGTGGCCCAGGCAGCTTTTGGGACACCAGCAGCAGCTGGGTTCTTTCTGCCTTTGTTATACTCAGGAGTGAGATATCAGCTAAAATCACCAACACCTGTGGAAAATGGTGCCAGTACTCAGTCAATTGCCCTATAGTCATAGTTTTGTGCAACTGAGCAATTCTCTCACCCCTGGTGGGCCATCCTCATCATGGCCGGTGCTGTGAGTGGAGCTGTGCATACACACTCTGAAGCAGAAGTGTCAATAAGCGTATCTTGTTTAAAGCTTTAGGGGGGGAGGTGTGAATCTTAGCTTTCACTTTCTGTTGTAACTATACTGGGTGTTTTATCTGCAACTGCTGACATGGAGGCCTTAAGAAATTTTTCCTTCACACCTGCAGAACATCTGACCCGGATAAGCAGGAGAAAGAAGAGGACTTGGGAAGACATGTTCAGCGAGATCCTGCAAGGCAGTGCTACCATTAGTCCATGAGCATAGAGCCTTGCGGGCGAACATTGCAGACAGCCTGGAGAAGGAAAGAGCAGACAGGATCAAAGCCCCCGAGTTCCGGCAGGAAAAGGAGAGGTAGAAGAACGAGGACATAATGGGGCTACTCTGGCAGCAAACTTATGATGCAGGCTCTTGTGCACCTACTGGTTCCATAATCCAAGGCTTGCCTCCCTTTGTAGTCCATAGAGAACTCTAGTATAGTATCTTCCTACACCCCCTACCCCAACAATGCGTGTGACATCGGGGCCACAACCCTATCTCTACCACTCCACCGTGGGGGATATTAAGGACAACTACAACTTCACACACCTGCTAAAGTCATGGCTGACATATTGGCAGTTAAAATGGACATGAATGTTCCTTCCCTTTCTTTAAACTCTTTTCCATAAATTTATTATGGTTTTAATGTTTTTGGTTTTTACTTGCAGAGAATTTTTGAAGTGTTTTCATTACCCAAAAAAGCTCTATTGTTTGATGAATAATTCATTTTTATTAGTTCCCAACATATGCTGCAGAATGCCTGGCAGTAGTGAAAGCACCCACTTGCTTGTTGCACACTGTGACACAACTCATAGGACCAGTGAAAAAGTGTAATAATTATAAATGTACAGCAAGCACCATAAAATTAGTAGGTGCAGGGTCAGTGTTATATGCATAGATGTGCACCAGCCACCACACAATTCCTAACAGGCCCCCACCCTGCAGGGACAGCTGGCGCACAGTAAACCACTGCACTATTCCTGTGGCTGGCTGTTAAAGTGCTCTTTCAAAGCCTCCCTGAGCCATATAAATCTGCATTGAGCTCTTTTTATAGCCCTTGTGCCTGGCTATTAAAACTCAGCAGAGAGTCGTTCCAACTCTGCCCTCCACCCCAGAGGCAACTTTCCTCCTTCGCTTCACAGATATTATGCAGGACACAGCAGGCAGTTATAACCATTGGGATATTTTTTCACTGATCCAGGCTTGTGAGTAAACAAGGCCAGTGTCCCTTCTATCTACCAAAACCACATTCTACTGTCATTCTTCAGCTGCGGAGCCAGTAGCTGAATCTCTTCTTGGTGCTGTCGAGGTGGCCAGTATATGGCTTCATGAGCTAGGGGCTTAAGAGTATGCTGAGTCTCCAAGGTTCACTATGGCCATTTCAACATCCCCAATGGCAATCCACCAGTCAGGAAAGAATGTCCCTGTACACAGCTTTCTGAACAGTCCTATGTTCTTGAAGATGCAAGTGTCATGCTCCTTGCCTCACCAGCCAACACTGGTGTTGGTGAAGCATCCCAGGTAACCCACCAACACTTTCATAACCATAGATAAGTCATCCTTTCTATTGATGTACTGTGTGGCAAGTTGGTCTGGGTGCCAAAATAATGATATGTCTACTGTCTATTGCTCTACCACAGTTTGGGAACCCTATTGCTGTAAATCCATCCATTACGTCCTACACATTGCAGAGTCACAGTCCTCCATAGCAGGAGACAATTAATGTCCCTGAACACTTGCATGACAATGGCCCCCACAGGGGATTTTCCAATTCCAAAATGATTTCCTATTGACTGGTAGCAATCTGGCATTGCAAGTTTCCACAGGGCACTCGCCGCTCTCTTATCCACTGTCAGTGCAGCTCTCATTCTGGAGTCCCTGTGCTGGAAGCCTGGGAGACCTCAGCACACAGATCTAAGAACATGGACTTTTGCATTCAAAAGTTCTGCAGCTACTGTTCATCATCCCAAGCCTGCATTACGATGCAACCCAACCAGTCAATGCTCATTTCTCAGGCCCAGAAGTGATGCTTCACCATTTGCAGCCGTGCCGTGAACACCACCAACAATCTTGAATTGTTTTTGCTATGTCTCACAGCAATCTGTCCTCCAGGAGACTGTCATGTTCCCTGTGACTTTTCCTGTGGCTCTGCAAATACTGGAGGATCATATGTCCTGTGCTTGCAATGCTCATGACAATAGTGCAAATCTGTGAAGGCTCCACACTTTTGTCAGAGATGGTGGACAGCAACAAGTTTCACATGGGTTCATGGGCTTTTCAAAATAGGCCCAAAAATTATGGGATAGAGATGTCATTATGGGATGAAGAAAGACACATGATGGGAACTTGACCCCTTGTTCCCAGTCACCCTTGCATGATTCGTTTCTGCCACATCACACATTGCCAGAATTTCCCCAAAAACAGTGTGCTGGATGGTGGCAAGTTGCGCACTGGGATACCTATCCATGGTGCACCACACTGTGCATCAAAACAAACAATCCTGGTGAGTACACACAGCACTGACCCATGGAGCCAAGTATGCACATGCACAAGCAATATACTAACTGCCGAAGCTTGATGCTGAAATGACTGGTGTAGACCAAAGTTTGTAGTGTAGACATGCCCTTAACCTATGTTTACACTGCACTATGGGAGTGAGAAGTGCCATGTGTACCAAAATGCTACACTGTAACTCTCACATGTAGACACTACTAGTGTCTTCAAACAGGACTACGTTGTGGCGAACTGAGTACCTTTCATTTATGTTAACAACTTCTATGTGGGGCAATTACAGTGCAGCACTTTGGTGTGTGCTGCAGTTCACACCCCTGTAGACCGAAATGTGGGGTGATGTACACAAAGATATGCGTGAGTACTAAATTGTGGACTGTCCCAAATATCAAAGCTATTGGTGGCCCAACCTGTTTTTACCTTAATTGTATATACTGCTGAAACTGCAAACTGGTTACCTTTTCACAGTAATGTGGGAATTGTCATAGGGGATCACACCCCACTTGTTCATTCAAGGATAACATTTTCAAAAATACCTTAGTGACTTAGGAGTCTAAGTCCCATTTGCAAATGTCACTTGGGGTTAAATGCACAAGGAAACATAGACATGGTGCTCTCTGTATCCTGATGGTTAGCGAGCTTACCTGCAAAGTGGAAGACCCAGGAGCCAATCCCCCTCTCCACTATCTTTTGAAATTATTTATCCATAGTGAAACAGCTTCAACAGGAGAGACTGAGGGAGCCTGATATCAAACTATCTGATAGCCTGATGGTTATGGCGCTCACATGAAAGGTAGCAAATACTTCTTTAAATCCCTTTTATGCCTCAGGTGGACAGGGACTTGAACCGGGGGGTCTCTCACATCCCAGGTGTATACCCCAACCACTGGGATAAAAGTCACCCAGGAGAGCCTCCTTGCCCCTTGACAGTTTTGTGTAAGCTCACCTTTAGGGCCCTGATCAGGTAGGAGGGATCTGAGTATGAATACCAGATTAGGCCCTACAGGTGAGTTAGGCATGGTCTGGGGCTCAGGTGTCCAGATGCCTGGCATGGGGCTGCAGTGCACATGCTCAGAGGCAGAAACATAGGCAGCTAGGGAACTTTTGCTACAAAAATGTAGGCACCAAATGAGTTTTGGCACATACAAGTTTAGGTGTCAGCTGAGCAGGGGTTTATGAATCCCAGTGGTTCCTGCTGGTGGGATTTAGGTGCCTAACATGGCAGTCTTTTTGTGAATCCTGCCCTTAGGAGACTACACAGCCTTGTATTTCAGAGCACGGGGGTGTAAATTGCAGTGTGCACTAGTGTATTGTGCTGTAACTCCTGCATGTGGACACTGCAGGAATGACCTAAAAGGTACCTAGTTCATGTTCAGTTTAGTCCTGTTTAAAGAACTCTATATTAACTCACACTAGGTACCTTTTAGTTCATGCCTTCAGTGCACACAGGGGTGTTAAAGTATAGCATACTAGTGTGCACTGCAATTCATACCCCTAGTAGACACAGCCAAAGTCACATTTGAAAATAGGACTCAGGCATTTTAAAATATTTTCCACTTTGTCTAATACCCTCTCTCTAACTGGGACTAGCAATGACATTAGGTTTTCAAGTTCTTCATCAAAAATGAACTTTAGAATTTAGGAGTTCCCTTTACACCATTTCACAGATTCTCTTTCGCCCTACCCCATCCAAACTAAATTAACTTTATTATTCTTTAGAAGGTTATTATATTCACTAAACAGCCCCCATCCTTCCCTTCCACATATCATCCACTTGTAAGAAGTTTTTAAACCATAGTTGTCCAAGACAGAAAAAAGAGAATGTGATAGAGATGGTCAAAAATGGGATACAGTTTTCTCAAGAATTTGCATTAACACTTTTATTTTTTCTTTGGGTCAAACTTCTGAATTTTTGTGAACATTTTTACACTTTCCCCTGTTTTATCAAAATTTCAGTTAAGAACGTCATCAAAATTGTGGCTTTCTAAACATTTTTACTATCCCAAGAATGAAAGCTTTGAAAGAGTTGCTACTCTACTCAGAAAAGTGAGGCAAAAACTAAATGGCATTGTGGGGGCATCATGTTTAATAATCTCTCAATAATTTTCATGTCAAAAGTGCTTGGTTTCAATGAGACTATGTGAGAAGTAATGTACATACTCAAGATGAGTAACATCAGGCCCACCTACCATTAAACTATGTATTTTCTAACTGCCAAGTGTGCAGAACTAATTCTGGGATCAGAATGTCAAGCTGGATTCTTTCCTTCATACACATCATCACCAATAATAATGGATCACAGGTTTGTGAGCCTGCAAAGATGTATGTACATGCTTTAATGGGACTACTCTCAGTATGTGAAGTTAAGCATATCTTTATAGGATCAGCACCTCAGTCCTCAGTGACCTCTTTGCCATACAATTGCCTTCAGCAGTAAATTCTCATTCCCTCACACAAATATTCAGGGAATAACTCTCAGTGTCTTCATGTCAAGTGGAATTATTCATTGTAAGAAGGGGCTGTTAGCTTTATTTGCAGAGGTTCTTGGCCCTGAGAGAGGTTTTTAAAGGTGCCTAACTGCCATTTGTGCCTAATTCTCAATGACAGTTAATGAGAGCTTGTGGTGGGGCGGTGCCCCACTCCCAGACAAGATTGGGCTACAACAGGCCAGAGCAGCTGCATGGAATGGCAGCCAATCAGAGAGGACCTGTGGGGGAGCCAATCAGTGCTGAACAGAGGGCAACCAATCAGGGCCGGGCTCAGCCCTATAAAAAAGCTGCCCAGGAGAGGAGTGTCTCTCCCAGACCTTCAGAGGGGAAGGTCTGTCTCCTGAGCTAAGGAGACCAGCAACTCGGACAGCGCAGCGCTGGGCAGGCTTGGGGGAGCAGAGGAGAGCTCCAGCCTGATACCTGCCAGCCTGCAGGCCCTAAGGAAAGGGCCTAGAGCAGTGGTTCTCAACTCTGGTCCACTGCTTGTTCAGGGAAAGCCCCAGATGGGCCAGGCTGTTTTGTTTTCCTGCCGTGTCCACAGGTTCGGCCTATCGCAGCTCCCACTGGCTGTTTACCACTCCAGGCCAATGGGGACTGCAGAAAGTAGCGTGGGCTGAGGGATGTGCTGGTCGCCCTTCCTGCAGCCCCCATTGGCCTGGAGTGGTGAACCGCGGCTCCCGGCTGAACCTGAGGGCGCAGCAGGTAAACAAACTGGCCCGGTGCACCAGGGGCTTTCCCTGAACAAGTGATGGACCAGAGTTGAGAACTACTGGCCTACAGGGTGCAAGGGGTCAGAGGGGAAGTGACCCAGGGAAGAAGGACAGATGAGGGGACTGAAGGAGGGCATAGAGGCTGCCACCAGAGGGTCCCTGGGTCAGGACCCAGAGTAGTGGGCGGGCCTGGGTCCCCCCCTTTCCCCTTGTACCTGGCCATGGAAGAGTGGCCATGATAGACTGCAGCCAGCCCTTGAGCAGAGGGGCTAGACCTTTGGGGGTTGTGGTTGGCCACTGCGGCAGGAGCAAACTGGAAAGACTGCTGTTAACCTGCCCTGGAAGGGGGCGAGTGTGGACTGGGGGGCACTGCCGGATGGCAGTGTCCTGAAGAGGACACAGCCGAGCAGGGAGCAACGCGAGTCCAGATGCCAGAAAGGCAAGAGACGGACAGGACACCACCAGCAGAGGGCGCTCAGCACTGGACAGAGCTAATTCCCTGACGTACCAGCGGGAGGCTCTAGGTTGGTGAGTCCCAGACCCCGTCACAGAGCTATGTGTCTCTCATTTGTACCTTTGACAAATCTCTCCTCGTGAAACAATTTCATGTACAGTGATGGACATAACATAGGTATTTAATAAGTACAGCAAAATTAATAACGGACTAACAACAATTTACACCATAAAATTAATAACATTAATGGTAATACAAATAATTCTTCCTTGATTCTTATTAAAATTTGTAAAGATGCTTTGAAAAGAGAATTATTTTCGGTCCTTAGGGGGAATCCAAAATGTAGTTTCAAATTCCAATGGCAATGAACTTATTTCCTTCATTCTTACATTCTTCTAGGCTTGATATTTTTATCAAGACACTTCTTCTGCTCAGGCTTTTGGTTTCCATTTTCATCTTCACCCAGAAAATCTTTCACCCTGAACTTACAAGTCACTAGCTTCTAGTCAGCTGTTGTGATAAGCTTGCTGCCCCTTTGTGAGGAAAGTCCATCCCTGAGGAACCGAGGCTTTCTTACCTTTTAGTGGTTATAATCCAAGTAGTCTTCATACTTACTCCTCAAGTAGCTGTGTTAGAAAGTCTAACAGCAAGACCTCACACAGAAGTCTGACAACTTATGGTTCCCTTTTAGAACAGCCTTCGCCACATTATTTCTGTCACTTGCAGCTTTAATACAACACAAACAACTTATATGAGCTGTCAAACCTTGCCATTCCAATAATTTCTAAATATTTCACCACATGGAATGAAAACACACTTATTAATTCTCTAACATCTGTTTCCCATGGTCACACACTCCTCAACTGCCTGCTAGCTAAAGTGGCATCATATTTAGCACTAGCTCTGCAGTCAGATGTCTCAAGCTTTCGTATATCTATTCACAGGAATTTTAGCTGATTCATCTCCCCTGGGGCTTTCACATTACTCAAAGAAAAAAAACTAAACATCCAAGGTCCTCACTCTGAATAGAACATAGAATCTCCTTTCACAGCACACAGTTATGTCTTGCTTTGCACTTTTCCATATTGGGCTAAAGGCCCAGTACTGCAGCCTTTACTCCTGAGGACAGTTCAGTGAAATTGCTTCTGTGAGTAAGGGCTGCAGGATCATGCCTAAAAACAGCACTCAACACAAGGAAATTTATTCTTGTGTATCGTGAGTAGGCTTTATATTTTATACAGGTTGCAGTTTCTAGTGTGGACCTACAGGGTTAGGCATCAGCCAAGGGTTGTGGAATTCATTGAAACTCAAAACTGGGGCAGAGGAGCCTAATTTGGGG